CTGACCGCATAGGGAAGCTGATGAGGAAACACAACATACAAACAATCTATTTATATATATGTGCGGAATGGCAGTCCTAAAAGGCAGTGGTTTTCCACCTTGGGGCCTCCAGGTGTTTTGGACTTCTGCTCCCACTATTCCTAACAGCTGGTAAACTGGCTGGAATTTCTGGGAGCTGAAGTCCAAAACAACTGGAGACCAGAGGTGGGAACCCCTTCTCTTTGGCAAAGGCCATCCCATATTGGATCTACCTGTGAAATTACTTAGTTGTGGTTAGCGTTAGGTGATCCGTGGGTGTAATTATAGTTGCTGAGTTAGGACAACCCACATTTGTATATTTGTAATTTAGCAAATGCATGATGGTCAGTAAGAACTCTGTGTAATAGGCAAATAAAAGAAGGAAGCAAAAAACATCTTGATTACAGTAAAACCAGAGTAACAGTGATGTCAGACAATGGCCTTGACAATTTAGAGCTTGGTAGAAGAATGTCTTTTTTGCTAGCTGTCCAAAGGAAGATTAATGCGGAGAGTGCTACATTGGGTGCAGCCACACAAAAAACCCTGTCTTAAGTACTAGCCAGGCTCACCTTTCCACCTGATAGATGAGTAGCAAGCACTTGGGAGATTTACAGCAAATTGCAGACAAGAGTCATATTGCTGTAACAGCTATCACATATTTAGTATTGGCTTACCTATAGGTTTAAGATCAGAGTCGGATTCTTTCATGTTCCCCAACTCAAATTCGTATTTTGACTAGGTCAGAGATATCTCTTTGTTTGCTTGTAGTGAAGGGTTGCAGGGTAGATGCGCTCATGGAAGTTCCTGTGTCTTATTTTTTTAATGCTATGCATTAATTGGGTGCCAAAATATGGTAGCATACAGTAAATAATCAAAGCTCATTTTAGTACCTTTTATGTAGCTTTTATGAGGTGCAGACCATGTTTATGTGCTTGTGTATTTTATGTTTGTTGCACTCTGAGTGAGCCACCTCAAGTACCTTTGAGGAGATGGTGGTGGGATGTAAATAAAGTGTTGTTGTTGTTGTTGTTATTTGATACACATCAAGAGTAGTACACAGCAAACAAGGTCACTATGCTGGCTTTTGTATTCAATCACACACTTCCCAAGTATCTAGGGTTATGTGATTATCAGCGAATAAGGAGTGCAGATCCAAGTAGGGTGGCCTTTTGCAGCTGACAGATGGTAATTTTCTTGGCACTGATTGTTTTTAAGTGCAGGCCAAGGTCTTTAGGCACTGCACCCAGTGTCCCGATCACCACGAGATCATCTTTAGTGTCCTTGCAGTTCGATCTTTAAATCCGCATATCTTCTAAGCTTTTCCAGTTGCATCTCATCAGTTCTGCTGTTGCCTGGGATTGCAACTTCGACAATCCATACTTTGTTTTTTTCCACAATCGTGAGGTCAGTAGTATTGTGCTCCAAAACGCTTGTCAGTCGGGATTCAGAAATCCCAGAGTAGTTTTATGTGTTCATTTTCTGAAACTTTTCCAGGCTTGTGATCCCACCAGTTTTTTTTTGTCACAAACAGATGGTATTTGTAGCATAGGTATTATTATTATTATTATTATTATGTAGAATTTGTGTGTAAACAGTATGTACTCACTATTAAATTTGGTCTCCAAATCCAAAATTTTGGTGTGAATTTTTACACTTGTGAACATAAGAACATGAAAATGCAATTAAGGGGGGAAAGCGCCTACTTTTGCAGAACAAAATAATTTAATATGCATCTCTCTCTTATGCTATTTATTTATTTATTTATTTATTTGCAGTATAGCATGAAGCTCAGCTCCACCGCTGCTTAAGCCTTTAAAAGCATCTTGGATTCATCTGATTTTTCAGGCACTGTTGAACTAAGCATTTTCCCTTAAACAACTCCCTCTCAAAAGTCAGTCTTTTATTTGAAGTTTAAAAATGTGCTGTTCTGAAGGTAACATTCAGCAGCAAGCTCAATGCAGTAGCATTATACAGGAGAAGGGAGGCTAGAACTTCCTTCTTTCTGACCTTCTTCACCCATTCACCCATTCAGAGAAGCAGATGGCGGAAACAGAAGAACAGCCTGCCTCAGGGGAGCTGCTTGCTCCATCAGTGTTCAACATTTACACAAATGACCAGCCATTGCCAGAAGGGACGGAGAGCTTCATCTATGCTGATGATCGTGCCATTACTGCTCAAGCAGGGAGCTTTGAGATGGTTCAACAGAAGATCTCCAAAGTTCTAGGTGCCCTTACTGCCTATTACAGAGGAAGCCACCTGATCCCTAACCTATCTAAAACACAGAGATGTGCTTTTCATCTCAAGAACAGACAAGCATCCCGAGCTCTGAAGATTACCTGGGAAGGAATCCCACTGGAGCATTGCAGCGCACCCAAATACCTGGGAGTCACTCTGGACCATGCTCTTACCTACAAGAAGCACTGCCTGAACATCAAGCAAAAAGTGGGTGCTAGAAACAATATCATACGAAAGCTGACTGGCACAACCTGGGGATCACAACCAGATACAGTGAAGACATCTGCCCTTGCGCTATGCTACTCTGCTGCTGAGTATGCATGCCCAGTGTGGAACACATCTCACCACGCTAAAACAGTGGATGTGGCTCTTAATGATACATGCCGCATTATCACGGGGTGTCTGCACCCTACACCACTGGAGAAATTACCCTGTTTAGCCGGTATTGCACCACCTGACATCCGCCGGGAAGTAGCAGCCAATAGTGAAAGGACCAAGGCAGAGACATCTCCAGCTCATCCCTTGTTTGGGTATCAGCCAGCACGTCAACGACTTAAATCTAGAAATAGTTTTCTAAGAGCTACAGAGACACTCGCAGGAACACCTCAGCAAGCGAGAGTCCAAAAGTGACAGGCTCAAACCCAGAACCTCAATCAATGGCTGATACCAAATGAGAGACTCCCCCCTGGGCACACAGAAAACTGGGTGACTTGGAAGGCGCTGAACAGACTGCACTCTGGCACCACGGGATGCAGAGCCAACCTCAAGAATTGGGGCTACAAAGTGGAATCCACAACATGCGAGTGTGGAGAAGAGCAAACCACAGACTACCTGCTGCAATGCAACCTTAGCCCCGCCACATGCACAATGGAGGACCTTCTTGCAGCAACACCAGAGGCAGCTACTGGTCAGAGGACACTTAATCAACTACCAAGCTTGCAAACTCTGTTTTGTCTGTTTGTTAAAAATTTGTTAAAAATGTAATACAATTGTGTGGTTGCTACTGACACGATAAATAAAATAAAATAAATAAATTCACCCATTCATGTGATTAGGTTGCTAATCCTTCAGTATTTCTTCACCAGTCAACTTATGATAACCCCATGAATTTAATTGATTTTTCTTAAACAAGGAATATTCAAAGATGGTTTTGTCTATTCCTTCTCTGAAATATACCTTATAGCACCTGTTATCCAAGTATTAACCATGACTGAGCCCGCTTTTCTTCCAAGATCAGTTGTTTGTAGTTGCAATTAAGTGTGCTGATGTTATGCCATCTCCTTTTTGTGTTTACTATATATGGATGTTTGCAGGTTTTCTCATTCACTAATCATGATATTAGACATATTCAAGGCATTTTCTGAGCTTTTAGAAAATTATACAATGGATAATCTATAATATTTTGTTTGTTCTTGCTCAGTGAAGAAATGAAGCATATAAGAAGGGGTCAAGTGCTTTCCTTTGAGCTAGAACCAGAGTGAAGTTTATGGCTTTTAATCCTGCCCATTGTGAGGAGAGCCCTCAGTCCTTTGTCTCTGCTCCCCAGAGCATTAGAGTCCTTGCTCCTAGGATGCGGGGAGTGAAGCAGTTTTGTATGTTGGAAAGGGGAGGAAGACAATTTTGTCTTCTGGAAATTGTCACTTCTGTCTTGTTAAAACACTGTAGGATACAATTTGTGTCTTTGACCAAATGTTATGCACCTTATCAATTAGTAGATGGATGGAGACTTGGGCTGTAGTAGGTGTTTCATCTCCTCATTCTTGCTTTTAGATCACAGTAGGAATGGGAGGAATTCAGGTGTAACCTATTAGGTGTGTATGTCTGAAAATTGGGCAGCCACTATATTATTCCTTCACTTTCTTTCACAAATGTCCCCATGAAGAAAGATTTCCTCAGAGCAGCTGAGAATATATTCATGTTTGCTGTGTATATGCTATCCTTTCAACAAGTAGGAGAGGCATCAAATCACACATCAGCACCTGATCTTGTGAGGTGTTCTCCAAGTCTGATCAGCTTATAACACAGGATGACTGGCCAAATCAGAGCTCTGCTGTAGCTACTTATCAGTGTGGCAGTTGGACTAGACTGAAATCATTTTTTCACCCTCAGTCACCTTCTATTTTGACCCTTTATTGAGATATGAGAAGCACAAGTCTGATTGCATCCTATGGGATCCTGTGATTTGTTGTTGTTTGAGGAAGCCACTAGAGCTCTTTGGCTGAGAATTCAAAATGCCTCTTCTAAACTGCAGTGCTTGTCACGGGAGGAAACATACAGCATGTGTCTTGCAAGCAAGCAGCCTTCCCCACCCCCCTAGACTTCCAGGAGAGAGTGTTGGTCACCAGTGAAATCCTGGCCAAGACAGTTGGAGCAACTCTGGGACAGTAGTGATTCCAAGGTCTCCTTGGTGTAGCTGTAGTGCTTGTGACATCAAGTAACATGTTGCTTTGGGAGCTGCAGTCCTTTGTCCTAGTAACTGCAGTGTGGTACAGTTTGTAAAAGGACAGTTTTAGAAAAATAGCAGTCCATTTCTAGTAATCTTTATCATTAATTGGAGTGAAGGGAGTACTGCTGTCAAAAAAAGGAAGGATGTGAGTGAGCTACAGGTAGTCAGAGAGAAACCCTACTACCAGTGGCTAGTTTTCTGGAATGTACAATGAATGCATTGTATGTATACATATGTGCATGCATCTAAGATTCTTGGGACTTCTGATAAACTTTGATGGTGTTTCCTCTCTGTTTTGCAGACTTCAGACGCATGTTTACTTTCTGGGCTCTCTGAGTGGTGGTGAGTTTACTCCTTGAGAAACCACTCCTTCCACCCCATGCAGCTCTCCCCATGCCTCCAGTGTGTGACAGGCGTCCTACGCAATGTGTGTTTGTCAAACCATGGAGGTGGGGAAGCACGGCAAGAACGCAACCCACACAGGGGGCCGAGGGGTCCTGCTGGAGCCTTTTATCCATCAAGTGGGCGGCCACAGCAGCATGATGCGCTACGATGATCACACGGTGTGCAAGCCTCTCATCACCAGAGAACAACGCTTCTATGAATCCCTGCCTCCAGAAATGAAAGAATTCACACCCGAGTACAAAGGTGAAATGCCCAACACTTTTGGCGAATCCCCCTGCTTTTCTGGTATTTTGTGCTCATCATCTATTCCAAAAATCTCAAGCAGGATCCAAGTGACATTCTCCCCTGTGTTTTGAGAAGATGTCATTCATAAGAACCATAACTTTATGTCCTGAGGCAGCTATTTACTAAACGAACGCTTTATGTCATAGAAAGTTGTTATTAGTTTTAGAGCCCAGCCCTGAACATGTTTAGTTCCAATAAGGCATCTTTGGTTCAGTGGAACTCACTTTCTTCATGCTCAAGGCAGCAATCTCTAGGTTACATGCTAGATTTCTCAATCACCAGAAAAAATAACATGTGTGAGACATTGAATTTAGTCAGCTTCCTGGTGGGGAATCAAATGTGGCAAGGAAAAAAAAAGGTGTCACTGAGCTCATATGTATTTACTGCTGGAAAACATATAACCTGTATGAGCCTACTTTGTGTTAGACGGGATTCCAGGTTTTGTTCCCTGGACCTTAATTATGTGATTTTAAGTGAATACAAAAAAAAAAAAAAACCAATAATGCAAAAGGTAGATATTCAATTTGAAAACGTTTATCTATAGTAAAAAGTTTGTTTTACGGGATTTTGAATCCCATGCTGAGAGAAAGACAGGATAGCAGTTAAATAGCTACTTGAGGACTTCTTGCCTGTAAAGAATTTCTTAACATAATGCAGGGATTTTGTTCAGAGCTCTCTTAGTGTGTGCAGTTCTGCCAAGTTACTTGGCACCGAAAGCATCTCTTACCGTTTCTGATAAACAAATATAGTATAATTCAGCTATCAAAGAGGAGTGTTCACATTCTTTGCAAAACTTTTTTTGGGCTTGGAAATGATACTTGGTGGTGCAACTACGATTTCCAATTCCAGAAACTTGAAAGCGGTGTTAAATTAATGTTATCTTTAACAAAACATTGATGAGGAGAATGATTGTTCTTATAAGTCAACAGAAGTGAAATGGAACACCATGAATGGGCACAGCATTCCTTATGAATGAGATTGTGCATCATGTCATAAGGGAGGAAAAAAATAAAGGTGCGTCACGTTACAGCAAAGGAGCATGACTCTTCTCAAATACATGTTATTCTTTTGATAGGGTTTAATAAGCTATACATTTAAAAAATGCCGATGTAGGACAAAGGAAAGGCAGTCTGCTATTTGTGACATTGATATAGTGTGTGATAAAATTCTTTTCTTACTGAAACATTATCCTGTCACCAGTAGAAAAATTAGATTGCATCTCAGCCTGAAGCCATTCCAATTTATTTTAAGGATCGTTCCCAAGAACTTGTGATTATGCCAACAAATTGACAGAAGTGACCTATGAACACTTGAAAGACATTGTTTGGGCAGATTCTGTGGATTTGAGCTACAACTGAAACTGTACCAAAAACAGAGAAATATTTACTTACTTCGTCTTCAAGGAATATGCAGATAAATCTCTCATTGTAAAATACATTTAACTACCAGTCTAGTGGAGGGTTCTACTTTTTGTTTTTTAATAAACTGAGACAGATTGAAAAGGACTGATTTTCTGATCTGGAATTTAAATTCTAGTATTTTAAAGGTTACATTTCAAACTTATTTCACATTTTTGTAAGACAGTTTTAGTCATGGGGTTTATTGCTATTGCATTGGCTGTACCAGAGATATCCATAATGTATGTCCCACCGATGAATTCCTTCACAGAGATTCAGACACCATAGTAAAACTAACACCATCTTGCAGTTGAGAGTCTGCAGTGTATGTGATAAGGTATAGTGCTTCCTATGGATATGTCCATTTATCTGTTACCTACATACTTCATACACAGTTCCAAAGAGATACAACATCAAATTGTATAGTCTTCCATGCAAAAAGTCCCTTCTCCTTTGTTGTTACTGACTGCAACTGGTCACTTTTTTCCTAATAACTAAGTAACTGGTATGCCTTCAAGCTATCCTCTGGACAGGTAGCTGCTTATACAACTCGTTGTCAATACTACATAATTATTTTAAGCCGTATTGTCATTTAATACAAAATATTTATTGATTTGCTTGCTTGCTTGCTTTTTATCCTGTCTTTTTCCCTGTTATGGACTCCAAATCCTATAGGGACTTTCTACTATGCAGCAACAGTCCATGCGAGTAATTGTTCAGGTATGCAAAGAATACCTGAACATCTCGTTGTTTTTGTGGCTAGAACAGAGAGCATGAAGTTCCTGGACAGAAGTCACAGTTACTTGGTCTGTGGATACACCTGTACCCACACAAATGCAAAAATCTCATGCCTTCCCTTCTTTTATTTTCTTGGGAACCTGTTTTATAGTAATCTCTAGTCCAGTCCTTGGCGGTAGTATCTTCCTTGCAGTGCCAACTTTGTAGTTGTTGCTGTAGTTGTTGGTAAGAGTTGTCTTCTGAGACATGTCTCATACAGTCCTTGTTTCTGGCAGGTGTGGTGTCTGTCTGTTTTGAGGGAGACAGCGATGGCTACATTAACCTGGTAGCATATCCCTTTGTGGAGAGTGAAGCCTTGGAACACGAGGATACGCCAGAGAGGGACCAGCCTCGTCGTAAGCACTCTCGCAGGAGCCTCAACCGGTCAGGCAGTGGCAGCGATCACAAAGAGGAGAAAGCAGGATTGCCTGCTGATTGCATGGAAAGGTATAATGTGTTTCTGCTTCTTCTATATTAGTTCAATCATAGTTTATTCAGAGGTTGTTAACCTTTAATCTTCCCTTTGTTTTTAGTTTGATTAAATAATACACTTGTGTGTCCCTATTGGGTATCTTCTGAGACAGTGAAATGTCTGCAAAGAGGAGATAGTTCCTAGCCAATAGGTGAAGTGTGTAAACTGCCCCATTTCCCAACTTAATCACTTAGGGAAGACAGCTGGGTTGAAAATGTTTGATGTTTGCATTGAATTTTTGCCGCTACTTGTTGTTAACCGCTCTGAGTCGCCTAATGCCTGAGAAGAGCGGTATAAAAATAAAGTAAATAAATAAATAAATAAAATCCAAAAATCTGTTTTAATCTAACGGCAGCAAAGGTCTTACTTGTGAATTATATTGTGCCAACAGCAACCAGGACACAAAGAGTATGAAGAGTTTCCATTCAGATGTTCCATTTCAGATGCTAGATGGAAACAGCAGTGTGGGTTCTGAAAAGATCACCTTTAATCCATGGAGCCTGCGTTGCCACAAACAACAGTTGAGCCGCATGCGTTCAGAGTCCAAGGAACGAAAGCTCTACAGTATCCTCCAAAGCCAGAACTTAGCATACTATAGTGTATATTTGGTGATTCCTTTCATGGTGAGAACCTTGGGCTTTGTGGTGAGCAGAGTTTTTCCTTCAGCTAAAAGAGACTCCTGCAGGCTTTCATGCTTCCAGATCAGAAACTCCCTTTTTTGCTTATCTGTGGCCTTTGTGCCCTTTTTCTGTAGCCCAACACCAACATCTGCATGAAAGGAAAATGGGCTATTGCTTTCAGAATTAGGATTTTCTCCTCCATTTATGGGGTCTTTTCCACTGAATAGGCCACTTAGTTTGAAGATGAAAGGCTGATTTCCTACATTCCCACATTTTTATCACCTGGAAAGATTTTGTGTTTGATTTCTTCCCTCTTTCTGTTTGAATATATATTATCTGCCAGAAGGTTCTCTGGAAAGCAAGAGACAGGCCCTTGGGGATCTATAGTAATCAAGAAAGGCAGTTTGCACCTTGAGAGAAAAATTCTCCTTGACCATTCCTTCAGAATTCCTTTTGCTGGAGAATGTGGTACATCACTTTAAACTTCCCTGCGTGCTTGACCTGAAAATGGGGACCAGACAGCATGGCGATGATGCGTCGGAAGAGAAGGCTGCTCGACAGATGAAGAAGTGTGCACAGAGCACCTCGGCCACGCTAGGAGTACGAGTTTGTGGAATGCAGGTATTGTATGAGCTGCTACTAAATTGTGGCTGCTGATATCCTCCTGTGCACAGGACAGATGTTGGGATTTGACAACTGTTGTAGACACCTGAAGAATGTTGCTTCCTAATAAAACACTATATGAGAGAAAGAAATAACAGAGGAAGACTTGTATGAGGGATAGTACTGGTTATTATTAACTTACTTTATTGATTGTTTTGATTTAATTCTATCCCACCTTTCTCTTGAGATGAAAATCAAAGTGGCTGACAATCATTTTTAAAAGATTATGCTAAAGCACTGGTTTACAAAATAAACAATACCACAAAAATGACATTGAAAACATCTTTAAAACAAAATTGTTAGTAAAGGATTTAAAATCACATCACATCACTTCACATACAGACTACTATTCCACAATAAAAATTCCAAGCCTACCTGAATAAAACTTCTTCACTTGTCAGCAGAAAGAGAGCAGGACGAGGGGCAGCCAGACCTTGCATGGAAGGGAGCTTCACAGCCTGAGAACAACCACTGGGAAAGCTCTCTGGAATCCTCACCAAAGGCACCTGAGAAGGTGGTATGACTGAGGAAAAGCCCCCCTCCCCTGCAGATTGTAAAATTCAAATTGGCTTTCATTAGGAGATAAAGGTTTTTCAGATAGTCTGAACCCAAGGCATGTAGGTCTGTAAAGGTAAAAATCTGCACTTTGAATTCTCCTTGGAAACAACTGGTAGCCAGTGGATCTGTTTCAGCCGGAAAGTCACATGATCCTTCTATTCAGCCCCAGTCAACAATTCAGCCAAAGCATTTTGGAGCCACTGAAATTTTCAAACCGTTTCCAAAGGGAGACCCATATTATAGTGGCCTAAACAAGATGTGATCAAAGCATGTTTCACCAAAGCCAAATCTGACTTCTCGGTGAACAGGCACTGCTGGTGCACTAGTTTTAATTATGCAAATACACTCCTAGCCACAGCTGAAGGCTGGGCATCTAGGCTCAGATCAGAGTCTAGGAGTGCATCCAAGCTGTGAAACTGAGATTTCGGGGGCATGTAGTCCCATCCAGTACATGATGAATCCCTAATCCATGATCTGCTTTTGGATTGACTAGGAGCACTTTTCTGTTTTGTCTTCGATTGGATCTACACTGCCATATAATAATGCAGTTTGGAACTTTATGATATGGTCAGTATAGACTCATATAATGCAAGTCAGTGCAGTTAAATTGTATTTTATAGATCAGGACTGCATAAAAGTTTATGTTTGTTGACCCACATCCAGTCCATTGTTGCCAGTAAACACTGGTATAATGTAGAAACAGCTTCCTTGGAATCAGATGGAAAGGAGAGTTGTGTGTTATCAGCCTGCTTATTTATCATATCAGGAGTGAACCAAGGATACAGTGGTAATGCATTTAAAAAAATACAAAGTTTAGAAACTTGGCATTATATTAAATGTCCTTTGACCAGTAGCTGGCCACTTGGAGTGCCTCTCGTTTTGCTATAAGAAGGTCCTCCATTGTGCATGTGGCAGGGCTCAGACTGCATTGTTATAGGTGGCCTGTAGTTTGCTCTTCTCCACACTCGCATGTCATGGACTCCACTTTGTGGTCCCATTTCTTAAGGTTGGCTCTACATCTCGTGGTGCCAGAGTGCAGTCTCCTGTGCGCCCAGCAGGGAGTCTCTTATTTGGTATCAGCCATGGCTTGAGGTTCCGGGTTTTACCCTGCCACTTTTGGACTCTTGCTTGCTGAGGTGTTCCTGCGAGTATCTCTGTAGATCTTAGAAAACTATTTCTTGATTTAAGGCGTTGGCATGCTGGCTGATATCCGAACAGGAGTGGGCTGGAGATGTCACTGCCTTGGTCCTTTCATTATTGGCTGCTACTTCCCGGCGGATGTCAGGTGGTGCAATACTGGCTAAACAGTGTAATTTCTCCAGTGGTGTAGGGCGCAGGCATCCTGTGATAATGTGGCATGTCTCATCAAGAGCCACATCCACTGTTTTAGCGTGGTGAGATGTGTTCCACACTGGGCATGCATACTCAGCAGCAGAGTAGCATAGCGCAAGGGCAGATGTCATCACTGTATCTGGTTGTGATCCCCAGGTTGTGCCAGTGAGATTTTGTATGGTATTTTTTCTAGCACCCACTTTCTGATATTTAAGCAGTGCTTCTTGTAGGTCAGAGAACAGTCTAGGGTAACTCCCAGGTATTTGGGTGTGCTGTAAGGCTCCACTGGGATTCATTCCCAGATAATCCTTAGGGCTTGAGATGCTTGTCTGTTCTTAAGATGAAAAACACATGTCTGTGCTTTAGATGGATTAGGAATCAGCTGGTTTTCCCTGTAATAGGCAGTAAGAGTGCCTTAAGCATCAGAGAGCTTCTGTTCAACCAGCTCAAAGCTCCATGCTTGAGTGATGATGGCACGATCATCAGCATAGATGAAACTCTGTTTCTTGTTGAGAACATACAGCCTAAATCCGGATGATATCTCCCAGCAATTTCATATAAATATAAAACAGCATGGGAGACAGAACCGTGTCCCAAGGGAAACCACAGGGCATGGTGTTGGATTGGCATCTCCCGAACCACCTTCTGATTTCATTACTCCAAAAAAGACTAGAGCCACTGTAAAACGGTGCCGTATTTTGTAGCGGCTGTACTCTTACAGCAGTGAATATTTATTAGCTTACCAATCTTGTGGATACTCACCTGAGATTAGGGCCCACTGCACATAGTGTCAAGTAACAATAGGATGACACCTTTGAGTGGAGCTGAGGACTTGGTGCAGAATACTACCAGCTATTTAACAGCAGAGATTCCAGTGCCTTGCACTGACTTCCTAGCCTAAATTTGTTCAACCCCCTTGAACTGTTACTGGTGTCAAAACAAGCAACTCAACTGGGAATTGGGCTCCTTGAGGTGGCAGGCATGCTTTGAGGTTATTATCTTAAGATGTTCGGTGTTGTAAAATGAGTAGGAGAACTAAACATGGAAAACAACACGTAATCTCGGGCACAGATATTTATAGTCCATTCATGGCCATGGTTGACAAGACATTTCTTATTATGAAATCATGAAGGGCTGCCTGGTGTTTCAAGTGTGTGGTGTCACACAGCGTCCCAGACTCGGAAAATGCACGGAGTATCACCTCACAGGCAGTTGCCTCTCTTGCTTTGAGTGACAGTGGTCCCCCAAGCGTACCTTCACAGCTTGTATGGTAGTGCCCTCTGCTGGAGAGTGGCTGTCTGAAATATCTTGGTTGTGTTCAAGCTTTCTATGGATTTTGATGGCAGCTGCGAATTTGTACTATTGATTTCATGTATTTGGATCTACAGTATTAAAGAAACTAATGATTCTGTGCCTTCTTTATTGGTTTGTTTTACCCAACAGATTTACTTACCTGAATATATTAATAAAGCATTTAACTAGACTGTTAGTTTTTCCACAATTTGTGCTTTGTATTCAAAGGATTCTGTGTTGTCTTGTGGCTAGTTACATTCTGACATATTTAGCAAGGAAGCAGAAAAGTTTTTTCCGTCCATGAATGGGGCACTGAAGAAGTTTGCATCCATTTTAATGCCATGATGGAATTGTTATAATTCTTGTGGTTTCTTAAAGGAGTCAACCAGATTTGTCCAGGCAGTCTGTGGAGATGTGTCATCATATTTATTTTGGCTACTCAGGATCTGCCCTGCTTGATTCTAGCTCTGGAGTGTCTTAATGGACTGTATAGAACATTCTTTAGTAGAGGTTTGAATTGGCGAAGAGGTCACTTCCTTATTGTACTTGTCACCCACTATGCTTTGAAGATCTGGTCTGATATTTGTTTCCTTTGGCCAAGACACTTCAATACTGGTGTCTCAGAAGTGCAAAGGTTTTCTTGAGCTACTGTAAAAAAGAATCACTGATCAGCATTTGTAGATTCTTATTGTACTTGACTATCCATATAAACCATGTAATGCTTTGTCTCTATGTTGCAGGTATATCAGTTGGACACAGGGCATTATTTGTGCAGGAATAAATACTATGGCAGAGGGCTTTCCATTGAGGGCTTTCGCAGTGCACTCTACCAGTACCTGCACAATGGCGTTGAGCTACGAAAGGACCTTTTTGAGCCCATCCTTAGCAAACTGCGAAGTCTGAAAGCTGTATTAGAGAGGCAGGCCTCTTACCGGTTCTACTCCAGCTCCTTGCTCATCATTTATGATGGAAAGGTTGCCCGGTCTGAGGCAAACATGGAGTGCAGACCAGAGGCGCGCCTGAAGCAAGTGGACCTCTCTCACCCTGAGAGCCTACAAGATGCCAGCAGCACAGAGTCCTCCACCACCAAGCCTAAGGTGGATGTACGTATGATTGACTTTGCACACAGCACATTCAAAGGCTTTCGCGATGACCCTACTGTACATGATGGCCCCGATATGGGCTATGTGTTTGGACTAGAGAGCCTTACCAACATAATAGGACAGATGCTGGATGAGAACCAATAGCTGTGCACTGGACTCTTTAATCTTCTCCCCCAATGATAGGAACAGAACGGACTACCACCCTTACAGAGAAAGCAGACCCTGCTGCTTTGAAAATATTCTGTTGCTCCAGTGCATTTAACCTCATCAAAGGACATATCCTGGATAATCCCGGCAAAAAGGCTTTCACCATCCTGGCCTGGACGATTTGTGGGTGGGGGGGGGGGAAGTCCACGGACTCCAGTGTTGGGCATATTGTACCTGAGGGTTGGCATTCATTGTGCACAGCACCTTGATTGCATTTGCTAGGCATGTGGAGACTGACTCCACAGGAAAACACCGATGTGGCGTTTCAGGGGTGTAGATTTTGGGGATTCCGGTGTCTCTCTTCCTTATCAACTTTCCACTGAGGCACTATGGTTTGAACTTCTTTCATTTGAAAAAGGCATTCAGATCCAAGGAAACATTAGTTATGGGGCTGACTGAGGCACATGATTTGCACACACTCCACTCTGCTATTGCTGCCCCTGAGCAGATGTGTGAGAATCTTCTAAAGGTTACAGATGAATACTTCATTTATCTTCTCCGATCTGGGAGTTATCGGATCATCCTACCTGGGGAAATAAATGACCAAAGGAAAATCAGTGCAGTGCTTTAATGGTTTTGCTTTGCATCCTGTTGATGAAGTGTGCCAACCTCCTCATTGTTTCCTGAAATCGATAGAAATTCCAGAAAGACCTGGTTAGGTGTCAGCCACACTGTCCCACCTCTTAATTCCTGTAAGTTTCTGGCTAGCTATATATTGTTTGATAGCACAATCAGACACGGTAGTCATGTGTTTATTAGGTACCAACCCTGCATGTCATTTTGGGACGTGTAGGTACAATAGTATCTCTCCAGCCTTACTCAGATCCAAGCACTATGGTGCTGGATGGCAGTATTCCTTCCCCATCTCCTAATTTCCTAACAGAATGATACACTTCCATCCACATTAACAAATTTTTGATGAGGGAGTTGATGAGAAACTGAGGGCACATTCATTTTCAGAGCATGTTCCTTCTGTAGAGGGGAGCATCTGCCTGGCTTTGGTGGCCTTCTAATGGAATGAGCTGCCACCTGTGCTTGTTTTCACCTCAGGGAGTTGGTGTTTGCTGGCCTTGTTCCCATGATTAGTGACGTCTTGAATGCAATTGGGCCATATTCTGGCCCTGCATACATGGATGGGCTTCTGTGTATGGGGTAAGACAAGGCATTAGTGATTTTTAATATTAACCTTGACAGCATTAGTTCATTTTGTGAATGATCAGTTAATTCATAGCTCTTGGAAGTGACAACCTTAAGAGCTGTTCCACAGACTTTGGACAATAGTTGCTCTAGTTAGAGCTTGGCCTAATATAGATGGATGCACTAGACCTCTTGGAATGCACTTTTTGGGGAAGGGAACAGTTCTATGGAGAACTGATATTGAGGCATTAGGGTTGAGGACAGCAGTTGTTTTAAATGTCCACAGTTGTATACTTACAGAAAGGGTTAGTTTTTGTCCTGAAACCCCTGCTTGTTGGAGGCATGTGGGCCTCCCTTAGGGTAGATGTGGCCTTCGCAGGTCTGTCCTGAAAGTGTTCTTGGATCTTTTTCAAGGAGCAGCTGGCGGAAACCTATTTCTCTCTCTTGCCAATTTGTAGTCTGCAGAAGCAAAGCTTCCTGACTCAGTTCTGCAAGAAGAGCAAATGAGAGAACCACTTTGTGCATTGACCAATCTAGCATTAAAATCGGATCTCACTTTTTTTCCAGTGGGAGCCTCTGTAGTGAGACATTTTACACTTTGAAGAAAGTAATGCAATTTTTCCAACATTACTTTTGATTCCCAAATCTTAAGGAAAAGCTTTGCTTTCTGCCAGCCACTGCTTGGAAGTCTCCATATTGAGTTTGAGGTATCACAATAATTTCTGTACTTTTCATGTTTTGGTTAAACAAAGACCTGAAACATATGAGAACATTTTTTACTTCTTCCAACATGTACTTCAGTAACATAGGGAAGACTATGGAGAACAACTCTGTTTTAAAGTCTAAATTTTATCTCCTGTTGTGGTGACCACCTCATTTTAAAATCCTTTTACAAAACAAACAACAAACATATACCCACAGCTCTCTGGACTGTTCTGAGCTTCACTCTGCGAATTCCAGAGCATGTATATAGCATTATCCCTTTCCTGTTGCTAGTTTTTTTCCTCTTTTTTTTTTTTAACAAAGCTAGTAATTCTATTAGTTTGCTCCATAAGGAACCAAAAATATTAAAGGACAATGTTTTCTCTGTATTTTAGTGTTGTGGTTACTTTCAGCCAGCATAACTGCAAAGCAGTCTTGTTCAATAGCAATAAGCTTTCCAAGTTCAAGTTCTTTGAGTTAAGAAAGAGACCTGGTTGTGACTGTTCTTTGGATTGAGTACTTTGCTTGTCCTGAAAGGATTTGCCTCCCTCTGGCCCAGAGATCTGCTTGCAGCCAGGCAGAATATTGATGGATCTGGCTTGTTTTGTTTGAATCTTTACTCGACGTGTGCCTGTACATTTCACGTTTGCAGTTTTTTTATATGCAGGTATATTTGTGTATAACCTATATATTTGTGTATAATCTGGCAGTACTGGAGTAGCTGGATGGAGGCATATTAGTAAAGCTATGTAAGAAAACATCAACAGAGCTCTGTAGGAAAGTACCCATAACTGTCACAGTAGATAAATGCAAGTGGACTCCCTTTGAAGAGTTATTGTTAAGCCATCCCTTTGGGCATGCCGCGGAATGTCATGCCTCTGCAGCCTGACATTTGCTTTTGGTTGAAAGCAGCTCTGCAGAGTAAAAGTGCCTTTTAACAGGCACCCAGAGAGACAACAGGAGATAGGATGGTCGGAAGCAGGAAGTTTGCTGTCAGTGACCCTCTTCCCAGTTGAGGGACACGGTTCACTATAAATTCGAACTTGCACCTGTCAAACTAATGGAGTACATTAGGCTTATTGCAATATCGTCTGGGGCTCAACCCATTTAGGAATTCATGAAGTCGTGCTAATTATTTATTTTTTCTTTTGGTATTATTCCTCTTGGCTACAGTGGAAGTTCCTGCTTGTTTGCTGGGGGGGGGGATTTGAGGGTGAGGGTGGATATATATGCTGTGTTTAAAGAAAGTTGTTCAGAAGATTAGCACACCCCTATGATCCTGTTCTGCCTTGAAATAAAGGGAATTGAGTCTGTCCCAAACGAAGCCAGCTTGCCCTAGGGCTCTGTGGAGTATCCCCTCCCATTCTGTTTGTTAAATGAATGTGACAATATGTTTGCTAAAATAAGACCCCCATCTGTTACGCTGGAGCCAGTCTCCTTATTATATTGGTCATTTTGTGAAAATCTGCCACTTCCCAGTTGGTTCTACCTCATTATCTCAAGTAAATAATTCAATGTAATAATTACACATCTTGTGCCATTTTAGGGACGTTGCCACAGAGGTGGGAGCTGTATTGCAGGTGTGTAAATACCTAATGCTGCAAAACAAAATAGCACAAGATGACATTTGGTTGGCTTTCAACAACTTAATGCAAGGCAACTTTTCCCCTTTGTCCTCTTGTTAGAACTAGGGTTGTGTTGCTTGTTTGTGCTGTGTTTAGCTCACCAGGAGGTTAGAGTGTGAGAGTCTGTCCTGGAAATGCATAGAAGACCACAGTGAGAGTAAACATATTTTAGGAAGAAGATGTTGATCTGGACAACAATGTCCAACCAAGCCATTCTGCATGCATTATATACATTCAGGTCCTCTTCTGAAGGCGTTGTAAATAATCCTTCCAGCCTGTTCTTACAGGAGCAGCATAGCCTCTGTTTGTTGCCCTTTACAGCTTGCTGACACTTTTATGTCCAGTAGTGTTGACTCTTGTAGCAGGACTTTGCACGTACTGTGTTGTTGCCTTCATGTAGATGATAAATTAGCTTTTCAGCCTTCTGGAATACATAGCCAGCTGTCTCTCTAGCAATACACGGAAACTGCTAGCATTGGTTTATGAACAGTGTGAGGAGTCCCCTTATGTTACCGATAAGGGCCAACTGCAAGTTCACCTGCTGAGAACTCAATTTCTTTTTTATATTGGTGGCAGCTGCTGCCTTGGAAGTATCTCTTCCTCTCCTCAGCTAGAGGTTACTACTGCACTGTGCTTTTTGTTAATAACTGATCTTGCCCTTTTAGTTGGGAGCAGGAGCCACCATCTCTTTATTAGCACTTTTGTAGCCTAGACCTGCTGCATGATCTTTCCGAAATATCAGTTGAACAATTCCCTGTGAATGACGGAGAGTTGCACTTTGGATAATGCTCAGTCTAGATGACTCCAAAGAAGGCCCTTTGTGTGTCATGGAGATGATACTGCTAAACTTGATCCTTATACTGTATGTGTATCTCCACCTGAAAGAAATGCAAGGAAGATAACAGAACTGGCTTCTGTTGAACACTGGCAAAGAGACTCAATGTCAGTTTCAATTTCTGTAGCCTTACCCACCTGCCTGCAGCCATGTACAAGCTGTGCCTCCACAGAGGACCAAACCACAGTTTAGATCAAAGCCCTGCTGCCTGCCTGCTGCTGCTGCTGCTCACAGTTCAGGGTAGATTGGCATACTATTACAAAGCCAACAGGCATATTTTCTGCAGAGCAGAGGTGCTCTGGCCATCTGAGATCTCATCTGAGCACGGCACCAGCAACTTGCCATGAACTCTTGGGGTGCACCTGCCGACGCATTCTGCTGCTATTGGTGTTTAAAGTGGAGGTGCAAATCTGTGGGCCTGTTTCATGACTTGTTTGTAAAAGGGTCTCCTCAGATCATAACTTTTTGGATGTAAAAGGAGAAGCAAGTTTTATTAGTTTCATAGACTACTTTTTGACCTTCTGGAGGTAGCAGGGAGGGAGGGAGTCTGGCTGTAGGCCTATGTATTTTTGTTTTGTTTGTTTTACTGTAAGTCTGGAAAGAATAATCCAAGTCAGGTACAGACTTTGGTTGTATTTGTACTATTACTGCATGCTTATCTCAGGAGCAAAATGTTGTTTTTTTTATACTTTGAGAAGTTTAGGTGTGGAATGGTCTCTATGAGAACTGCCTGAAAGGGAAGAAATGTTATTGTGAGAGCAGGGAGCAGAGCTGCCCCCTCCAGCATAGTTCCCATCTGTCTCTTCAGACTCGCCTGGGAGAAATGCAACATCACATAACAAACGTTTTGTATATTTTTCATAGTCTGTTTCAGTGCCACTTTGTTGGGCCAAGTCAAGCTTTTGGGCATGAGAAATAACAGTATCTGTACTCCACACATTGCACCCCTGGCTCTCCTGTTGTGTATAAACATCTGTGTATATAAATAAACTGCTAGACATTTAGCTTAGTGTTTTTGTATGGCTATCTTCTACAAGTTTAAAAACTTTGTTCAAATATCCCATTTGTTAGAGTGGGGTTACTGTACACTTTAGACTTAGCAAACATGGTTCAAAATGGAACCAAATGAATCTGACAGCATGGGAAACTAAGTGAGAGAATACTTATATAACCATGAAGTGCCAGATGGTGCTTTCTTCACATATAATATCGTTCTTTCTTGCTTTGCTCCCTGTTTTCATTCAATATTAAAAGTTAAGACGACCTTGCTTCCATTCTAGTTGTAATAGGCCTCATTCTGCACACACTCCTAGTAATCAAGGTTAAATTCGCACTGTTCAGTGTGGATTATTATTAATGTCCAGTTCAAAATACATTACTTAAACTGAAGCAGTATACCTATATTAATGTTACTCTGAAATCGAGTTAACATAACTTTTATTTATTGTCTCTAATGTCCATTTCTCTTATTTTGAGGTTCTGTTTCAAAAATGATGACTAAACTTAAAGGATGTAGGGTTAAAGGAAGCAGAGAATGAAGAAAAACATTTGGATACATCTCTGCCACCATGCAAGACTTTTAAGGGGCTGTGAAGTCATACCCAAGATGATGAAATAGCAGAGTGGCTGATGCACTAAACAAGAAAAGAAAGGCACTTGAATTTATCACATGGTACTTCAACAATATCATCTTCCTTAATCCAATCCACAGGAAGGGCTTTCAGGGGAAAGGGGCCCCAACTGAAGTATAATAAATTTTGTCAGTAGCATCTTCTATCATGCCACAGAAAATAGTTATTGCTGTTCCTATTAAGTAAATTGAGTTCTAGAAAAACTCTTAATACAGGCGGTCCCCAAGTTGCAAACATTCAACTTACAAATACTAGGGGTGAAACAACAGTAAGTGTACCCCTAGGAGAGGAAATTCACGGCCGATAAGAGTTATGATGGGGAAAAGGTGTCTCACCTGAAGCTTTATCATAAATCCTTGTTTCTACAAGAAACCAAAATGTTCAAAATCTATCACAGGAACAGAAAGTGAGGTGAAATCTTCTGAACAGGGGCACAGAAATACCACAGGGTTTTCATTCTTCCCTATGCTATCCAAAGCGCCCCCCCCCCCCAATATATTTGGTTGAAGTGACACTTTAAAAATTTGCTTGTTCCAACTTACAAACAAATTCAACTTAAGAACAAACCTATCTTGTTCGTAACTTGGGGATCGCCTTTATAGGGGAAGTTAACAACCATGCAGATGGAAAACAACACTAATTGGTAGTCAATTCCTGGCAAAACTGCAGCACTAGCGGAAATTTAAAATGTGTGAGCTGAACATTTTCACTTCTCCCTGGGAGGCTCATTGGCATTCTTCACAGGAAAGCCTGTTGTGGGTATAAGCTCAGCAGAACTCAGAACAAAGAATCATCCTTCCCAGAGCAATGCAAGTGGCCTTACATAACCATATCATCATTGTGCACAATCTTCTCTCTGGATAGTCCAGAGAACATGAGTTTGTACTCTGATTTCCTGGGAATCAGGAAAATGGTCAGCATTCGGGCGCACCTGCATTCAGTTCCCAAAAATCTGTGGTGGTTTTCAAGGTTTTTTAAATCACTCAACCAAGCTAGAAAAAATGCAAAATAATAACCAATTGAGGAATAAAAATGCAAAATGAAAATAAGCATAAATTATATAGATCACAAAATTCTATTTATTTCTGCATAGTGGATGAATTTAATTGTTTATGCAGCACACACAGTTTTGGATCACATTCTCCTGATAAATTGTCACGCTTTGACTGACTGATAAAAAAATAAGGTACGTAGAAACAGATAAAGGTTTCCCCTGACATTAA